AAAAGTAAAAAATCTTTCTCTTCTAAGATTCCAAGTAAACCAGGGCTTTCAAAAGAAAATGAAGTTGTTTCATTCTATGTTAAAGGGTCATTCGACTTTTAACTGCGTCTGAATATTAATGGCGCCAGTGTACCCACCATATATTTGGTTTGGAATGATAATTAACATCATTCAATCGTTAAACCTCCTGAACTAGTTGATAGTGTATCATCATTTAACTTTGAATAGAAACACTGTTAAACTAGAAGTAGGATTAAATCGTCGCCATAACTGCGATTGGCTCTTGGATAATGTTTGTTTTACGATCATGTGATATCGTGTTTGATCGCATAAACGACGCGATACACGTTCATCGTTATTAACGGGACAGATCGGTTGATACTTACGCTATGTATGATACATACATACAATGTATGCATTATCCAGCTATCAAATTGATTTTAACAGTCTCCCCTGTAATATAGTCACAAGCAGTTTGCAATGTCTGCAACGCGTCATTATCCATTTTAAAATTCGGCTGGCATAATTCCATGAAAGAACCATGAACGTTCAAGCAAATATTGTAATTCAACAAGAGTAGTATTGGCTCATTATAATGCAATTTTCAAGTAATCATATCGTACAATAATAAATTACAATGACCTTTGATAATGCCTGCTGCCAGGCTAATCAGTAGACTGCGGATTTTATGCATTCGCGAGAAAACTGAATGTGCGAAACGTGTAAACGAAATGCGTAAAACGCGAAAATGTAAAAAATCGAGTGCCCGTCGTAATATTTGAATGATAAAAGAAAAACACATTCTCCGAACTGGTATCATAAATATTTTATTATTTTCCATAAAAATTCGCTGTCTACCAATCAGTTACCAGCTCGAGCGTCAGTAGCACTTATGGACGGCACTGTACGTAGTCGCGTCACGATCCTTGCCGGAGGTCGTGACCTTGCCGATATGGGAGAACGACGGGGTTCCCTGCGAAGATCCCCGTCCCCCGTGAGTCAGTTTCCTGATCGATTTTCACGCGTGCATAGTGCAGCGAAATGAGACGGACCGATCCATTGTAGGGCGCCGACAATGGACTTGTCTATTTTGGAGCAGCTGTGCGGCTCTCCTTCGAACAATACACAGCCTGCGTGGAACCGGTCGTTTTCCGATTTTACGTTTCACACAGTCGCTCCTCCTGCGATCGATACCGTAA